CTGCTTCTTTTTAAGGACAGCTGTGCCAGAACTATGGCTTGCCCAGGGTCATCCAGCCAGGTGCAAGTAGAGGAGTGGGGAATCAAACCCGGTTCTCCCAGATCAGAGTCCGCGCACTTAGCCACTACACCAAACTGAAAATGAGAAGGATTAAGTAGAGACGCTTCTGAAGGTAAACTGCGACCTGCAGCGTTGCACCCACACCTCTTTCACTTAACGGAGTGCGCTGGTGCTTCAGGCAAGTCAGGGCACCCACTGGCCACACCCTGTCTGCATTCCCAGCCCTTCTGGTGGTGGGAAGTGCCATCAGGTTGCAGCAGAATTATGGCAACCGCATAGGATTTTTTAAGGCAGGAGATGTTCACGGGTGGTTTACTTTTGCCTGGCTCTGTGTCGCAACCTTGGCCTTCGTTGGTGGCCTCCCATCCAAATGAGAACCAGGGCCGACCCTGCCTAGCTTCTGAGATCTGACGAGGCCGGGGCCAGCCGATTCAATGCAAGAGAAGCTCAGAGGTGGTTTGCCGTTGCCTCCCTCTGCATCACTGCCCTGGGCTTCCTTGGTGGTCTCCCATCGAAATACTAACCAGAGTCGATCCTGCTTAGCTTTTGAGAGCTGATGAGACTGGGCTAGCCTAAGCCATCCAGGCCTGGGCCCCAGTTCTTCTTTTTGTTGTTGTTGTTCAGTCGCACAGTCGAGTCTGACTCTTTGCGACCCCATGGACCAGCTCCTGCCAGGCCCTCCGGTCTTCCGCCGTCCTCTGAAGTTGGCTCAATGTCATGTTCATTGCATCGATGACACTGACTCACCATCTCATCCTTTGCCGTCCCCGTCTTCTTTGACCTTCAGTCTTTCCCAGCATCAGGGTCTTCTCCAGGGAGGGCTCCCTTCTCATTGGGTGGCCAAAGTATTTGAGCTTCAGTTTCATTATCTGGCCTTCCAGGGAACAGTCAGGGTTGATTTCTTTTAGGATTGACTGATTTGATCTTCTTGCAGTCCAGGGGACTCTCAAGAGTCTTCTCCAGCACCATAGTTGAAGATATTATAACTGATTATCTATTTGTCTGTCTGTCTGTCTGTCTGTCTGTCTGTCATCTATCTATCTATCTGTCGATCTATCTGTCGATCTATCATCTATCGATTTGTCGAACTATCTGTTGATCTGTCTATCTATCTATCTGTCTATCTATCTATCTATCATCTATCTATCT